CGTTTGCTTACTTCGGATGTGCAAATAGAAATTAATCTTATACATTTTATATAAACTTACTGATCCACTGATCTGTATGAAAGAAAATGTAATAACTGATTGAGACAGACCCTGTCCTTGGATTTCTCTTCTTTTCTTGGTACAATATTGGTTATCAGATATAAATATATATTTGTATTTTAGATTCTTTTGAGGGAGAGTAGTCTTTACATTTAAAAAATATATATATTTTATAATTCCTATAAACAACCCTGAACTAAAATTACTTTGCAATTAAACTGCTATTTAATTAATTTTAAGCATATAAAATAATTGTACAAATAGCATTACTATGTATTGTTTTTTTCATAATGGAGAGAAAGAATTATAATTGATTTCACACTGGCTAATGAAGCTATGATACTAATAAATAATTGCCAAAATGTTTGTTTTATAACTGTGTATAAAGGCATTTAATTTCACTAAATTCATTTCATATGGAAGCGTGCTGGTCTGACAGGGCTTGTATGTTCCAGTTGTTTGTAGTTTTTAATAAGATATTGTCTATGCAATAACACAAGGAACTTCAGATTCAGGACCAACATCATCTAGGCAATTTCCAATCTTTATTAAAAATAATTTGTATAAAATAAATATCCACTTTAAGAGAGTGTTGAAAATAGCCCATATACCTTTTTAAAATTATGCAATTATAGGTGTCGAATAATTTTGGTTTTGTAATTGAAATAAATGGCCAGTAGATGGCGCTAGTGCTTCTCTGGTTCACTTAGTTTAGCCAATGAATAACATTTGGTTCAGCTATTTTAAATATTTGTAGAGCAAGCATTTGAAATCCAGTAGTTTTTGCCCTGTTGAAAACAAGATATGATGCTTTTTTGGGGATATCAAAAAATACTTATATGATATCTATCTATATATATATATATATATATATATATAATTTGAATGAAACTGGCATTTTGCAGAGGGACACACACATTTATTGTTTCAAATTAAATTCAAAATTAATAAATGTTTTATGAATTAGTGTAATATAGAAGCATTTGTTTTTGTTCTAAAATTGCTTTAAGGCAGAATCCCACATCCACACACAATGTTGTCATTTCATCCATATAGTATGTTTTTTTGATCAGCCGTTTTGATTAAATATTTTCTTTGTGATTCATTTCCAAGCTGAGACAGTCCCAGTCCTACTGTACAGACACAGAGTGCCTTCAGGAGAGTGAGTCTGTCTGTCCAAAACTAAAGCATATCGCACTATGGCACATATTGTGTGTTCTTTTCTAACTTGTGAGTCTTGTGTGTGTGCAGTGCCAGGCCCCAACTCCTCAGTAGAAGGGGACATCACTCTACCCATGATCATTATGGGATGGCTTGTGCTAGCTCTCGTGCTCTTTCTGATCCGCCCAGCCAGCTTGAGGGGCCCTTCAGCCAGCAGCAAGCCCTCCGGTCCCCATGGTGTAAGTCATGACATGTCCCTCATAATCAGCTGTGTCAGTTATCACTTGCATAACATTGTCAAACATTTTAATGCTTTTTCTTATGCTCACCAAAGCTGCATTTATTTAATTAAAGGCACAGTAAATACAGAAATACTGTGAAATATTCTTATATAATTTAAAATAACTTTTATTTTTGAATATCTATTAAACTGTAATTTATTTCTGTGATGCGCAGCTGTATTTTCAGCATCATTACTCCAGTCTTCAGTGTCACATGATCTTCAGAAATCATTCTAATATGCTGATTTGCTGCTCAAGAAACATTTCTGATTATTATCAATGTTGAAATCTGTTTTTGCTGCATAATATTGTGTGGTAATGGTGATACACTACCATTTAAGTTTGTGGTAAGGGAAAAATTAATACTTTTATTTAGCATGCAGACATGAAATTGATCAAAATTGACATGTATAATATTACAACAGATTTCTATTTCAAATACATGCTGTTCTTTTGAATTTTCTATTCATCAAAGAATCCTACAAAATATTAAAAAAAAAATATATATATATATATACTGTATATGGGCATATATATGTATATGTGTATATATAAATATTCAAATATTTTTTTACAAAAATATTAAGCAGTAAAAACTGCTTTCAACATTGATAATAATAATAAACATTATTAATAATTCAGTACCAATAATAATGAGCAGTTATTTTAAATGGTAATATTTCACAATATTACTGTTTTCTTTGTACAGTTTTTTCGTCAAATAGATGCAGCCTTGATGAGCAAGAGACTTACAAAAAAGATGAAATCTCAATTATTCCAAACTTTTGACCGGTAGTGTATAAATGATCATCAAACTCACCTCCACAGTGAAATAACAGTAATCAGAACGTGTAGCAGCGCATGTACATCTTTAATAGGTTTTAACCATCAGCAAAACATTCGATGTATATTATGGGCTTTGTATCTCTTCATATACACAGTCAGTTCACATGAATCACTGAATTGGAGTTCTTGTAGTCATTGGATGGAATTCTTTTCTCCTGATTTAGAATCATGGCAGAGAGCCACCAGCACCTCCTGTGGACTAGAGCTTTCTCACGGATCTTTTAATCCAGCTTCCACCTGATCAGCTACTGTGACTAATATAACACGTTAGTTTCCTTAATCATCTGTCAGTGTCTCACATTTCAGATTCTTTAGTCCAATAGGGAGGGGGGCCTGATCTACACAGACTCTTGGATAACAAGGTGTTTGTACAGTTTGTGTTATATTTCAAAAGAGAAAGTTGAGAAAAGGTGAAATTGTTTTCCGGGTTTATATATCTCCGTCTTCAATTTTTTACCTCTTACTATATTTTCACTATAAAGCATTATTAGGTATTTAGCAAGTGTTAAAATGACATATAAGCCTGTGTAATGACACTTGCCTAATTGTGATCTAGACACAAGGTTACATAGAAATCTGGTTTCGTTAAGATATTCGGGTTATTTTTGAGTAGACGTAGGTGAAGAGGATAATGTTCTTGTCCTGAAGCTATGATGACTTCACAGACATTCTTACATCGGCTCATTCTAAACACTGATGTAATTGAAACCATTCACACATTTGAGGCCGACCGAGACCACTTCTTAAAGGGACAGTTCACCTTCATTTGCTGGTCCCCATTGACTTGCATAGTGTTTTTTTTTTTTTTTCAACTGAAGGTGAACTATCCCTTTAAATCAAAATGTTGTGCAATAATGAAATGGGCGTATTCCAGTTTTTACTCAGATGTTATCATTGTAGTCATGGCTTTGTGAATGTTGTCATGGTCTGGGATCTGTTGACCACAGCTGATCTAAAGCAGACCTCTCCACCCACCCCCCCGAAGACTCGATTTTACTCTTTATAAAATCACTAAAACAATTGCTAGTACAGCCAGCTAAATGCCATTCTTAACAGAGTTGTTTGCATTTGCTCAGGAATCATTATGTAGCTGTATGAACTACAACACTTAACCGGTATAAATAGCTGTCAAATTTAAACAGTGGCTTTCAAAATAAGCTTTGGGTGTTGCAATTTTGGTAATATTTGCAAAGAGTGAGATTCTCTTTAGGATAAGCTTAAAGGCAAAACTGTAGCACTTTCGTTCTGGCACCTTCACAACTGTGTAAAGAAAGCAAAGCTCCAGAAAAACACCAAAGATAGGCTGTAAGTCTTCAAGTGTGGTGTAACTTAAACTTCCCGTCTCTTCAGTTCGATGAGAATGTTAGAATGTCTTAATTGGTTGGACTAAATATTTCAGGGCATGATGTACACTGTTCTAATAAAACTGCTCTATGAGAAAGGGCTTCATCTATGCACTTTTGGTTACTACAAATAAATATGATCAATAGCATCCCAACGTGTCTTTATTTTCTAATAAAGCTTTCTTTTAGCTTTCTAATTAGAATTGTTCAACATGACTTTGAACGTCTCAACATTTCTGCGTCAAACGGACCACTAATGCGTTCCTTTGATGACGTTTCACGTCAAATGAAAAGTCCCAATAATCAGTTTTGCCATATTTACATTAACATTCAAACCAAAGTTACAGTGTTGCCAACTTAGCAATTTTGTTGCTAAATTTAGCAACAATGTAAGAAAAATATCTAGAAAAATGGCAAAGGTACTAATAATTTTCCAGGACATTATCCGTTGTAACCCGAAAACACAAAATACAATGCCTAATTTAAAATGCAGGTAAAAACCTGTGATTTATTTTCTTAGAGCGTAGCATACTGACTACTAATACACTGCTTAAAACTATAATTGTTCATAATGTGTAGTTTTACTAGTTTACTAGCTAATAAAAAAACTTGTAATAGTTCAAAAATTAAATCGTTCAATGTTGTATATAAAAATAGTTATTTATATTTTAACATTATATTATGCATTTATATTATTTTACGAACAAATCTAAATGAACATATAAAATATATTTTTTGCTGAGATTTGATGTAGCGACGCAATTTTGCGTCGTGATTACGTAATGACGTCATCGCGCAATGACGTCACAACGTCTTTTAGCAACAAATCGACCTTCCTTTACCTTCCTTTAGCAACTTCCCCTAGTTTACTAGCTAATAAAAAAAACTTGTAATCGTTCAAAAATGTGTAAGTGTTCAATAATTCAATGTTGTATGTAAAAAATAGTTATTTATATTTTAACATTATATTATGCATTTATATTATTTTACGAACAAATCTAAATGAACATATAAAATATATTTTTTGCTGAGATTTGATGTAGCGACGCAATTTTGCGTCGTGATTACGTAATGACGTCATCGCGCAATGACGTCACAACGTCTTTTAGCAACAAATCGACCTTCCTTTAGCAACTTCCCCTGAAAATTAGATGGCAACACTGCCGAAGTAGTTTTAAATAGGAATAATAAATGCTTTCGGTCTATGAACGTTCATTTGTTCTGTTTAAGTCACGGTCAAAATATTATTTGGATAAGAATAGGACTCTTAGTTTGAAAACGATCCGGAAGCTGAAGTCCGTCTTAGTTTTATTCATTCGGGAACAAGGCACCTCAGACGGAGGAACCTTCGTTTTAACTGAAGAACTTCACCGTGAGACGAGGCAAGTCTGTATTAAAGCTATTGAATTCTTTAAAGTATGTCTCATTGAACTCGTTGATTTTTAAAGTGTGAGTTTGTGATTGAAGCTATAGTACAGAACGTCTACACAAGTCTATAAATGGAAAAACAGTTCAGTTATAAAAGCTGAAAAGGTTCCTGTATTCATAGAACATCACAAATCACATTATAAATCATTTAATGACATTTATCATCTTATCCATGGCTATATATTCATTAGTCATGCACGTTAATGGCTTAACGGTTCAGTCTTTTTTTGATGAATCATTTGATCTTTTGAGTGATTCATTAACGAAGCGATGTCAACATTTATATTATACTTAATTTAAAAACAGTTTATTTTTCTTTATTATTTAACATACTCGTGAGAATAGATTTTAGGATTTATTTTTAGTAGTATTTATTAAGAGATTGCTTAATTTATAACATTTATTATATAAAAGAATCGCTGAATTGCATTTTGGAATGAACTGTTCAAAAGAACCGAACGTCGCAAAGGATTCGAACTTTTCATAACTAGTTGAAGCTCCACAAGATTAGATTACTTGGATTACAAATTGTAGTTCGTTACTGATTCCAAATTGCATGACAAAAATTGTAGTTAGTATTGTAATCTATTACATTGCACATTTTAGGTAATATAATCAGACTACTTTTTGATTACTTTTCACCCAACTCGTTAATCACAGTGATTTAAATAGAATAACCGTGTACCATATTGATATAAAAATAGAAAGAAATAGAAAATTAATTCAATTTGTTGTAATCAACAACATGAAATACATTAAACATTACATTATAAAGGTTTCCCAAACTGGGGTTCGTAAAGGAAATGCAAGGGGTTCATCAATCATTAAAATGTACAATTAAAATAAATCATTTAAAAAGAACATCAAAATAAAATGCTGACTACAAAAATGAAATATGTTATATGGTTATCTGCATATATCATGCCTGTCATGTGAATATTAACCAACGTCAGAGAACCGTGAACATGCAAATGTGATACTTAATTATTAAAATATTTATTTAAATAGTTACTTCAAGAAAATATATTCGATGAAAGAGGTTAATCTGACAAAAAAAGGTTTGGGAATCCCTGCATTACATACAAATAAGAAATAACATGAATGTGTGCATTTTAATGTGTTTTAAAGTCAAAAGCCTTCTAAAGACTTAGTAACACATGGTTAAATAAAGTGATAATTCAAATAAACATGAATGTGTTCATCAGCAGTTGATGCAATGATAAGAAAACACTGAGATGATTTTTGTAGATCCAGTGGTCAGATGCTGCGTGGCCTCTCAGTTTTCTGTGTAATTATAACCACATGACTAATGAATGTCCACAAAACTGGAAGACTTTCTGAATCTATGTAAGTGGTAAGCTTATTTAAAAAGGAACGTTTAATAGATGAAAAAAAAGTATTGGGGAGAATCAATAAATTATAAATAATTTATTGCTATTGTGTGAATAATATGTAATCATGTAATCAATAAAATAGCAACTATAGCCTGATTACGAGTATTTTAAAATGCAATATAATCTAATTACAAGTACTTTTTTTTTTTTGGAATCTGATTACATAATCCAGATTTCATGTAATGAGTTACTACCCAGCTCGTGAGGCCCTGGATCCCTGTGAAAGAGGATGAGGGCCATTCATAATTCACATAGTCTGATGCACCTCCATTCCATCTGTGTCTCTGCTCAGATGTTTCAGATTAAAAAGATTTGCTGTATAGGTGCTGGGTATGTCGGAGGTCCGACATGTAGTGTCATTGCAAGCATGTGTCCCGAGATCACAGTAACAGTGGTGGATGTTAATGAATCCCGGATCAAAGCCTGGAACTCCGAGACCCTGCCCATCTATGAGGTAACGACGTTAAAGGAATAACAGGGTTTAATACAAGTTAAAGGGGTCATAGGATGCTACATGCACTTTTACAAGTTGTTTGAGAGAGCGGCTCGGAAGAGAGGGGCGGGGTCAGCAGAGCTCATTAACATTTAAAGGAAAATGCTACAAAACGGTTTACTCTGAAAAGAGCTGAAAAGGTGTTTTTTACACTACCATTGAGAAATTTTAACCAAACTATGTTACAGACTTTTCATTAAGACCCTAAAGAATCATATCAACTTGTGGAAAATGGGCATCCCATGACCCCTTTAAAGGTGCAGTTAGATATAGAGATGCACTGATCGACCGGAATCAGGCATAAAGTTGGTTTGATGTTCGATGTTCGATATTCGCAAATGTAGGGACCGTCTCTAAAGTTACATACAACATTGGTATACATGTAGCATTTGAAAAGAATGACTTACAGTCATAAACCCAACTGTAAAGTGTTCATCTAGGTGTCAGCTATAATGCACACCTTTTAGATTTTTGATATTTGTTAAAATAAACTGTGAAATCATATGATGAACACTTTACGTTAATCTTATAACATTATTTATGCTTTTGCAATTTGACACCTCAGCTTCATCAAACAGTCTGTGTAAACACATCTAATGCCGCTTCAGATGCATCTTGGGTTTTGTTGATACTGGTTTCATTTGAATGGTAAAAACTCTACAGTTTCTTATTATTCTGAATTAATTGAAGCAATTGATGAGAATTTGATGTGAAAGATGACATGCATTTAATAAGACTAGGGGGAAAACAATGGGAAATTACATCTGTTTTGTCATATACAGCAATAAATATATTGTAGCGATAGTAATTTCTACCTCTTTCCAGTCACAGAGCACTTTATTTTGAGAACATCTGTAACTTAGTCCAGATTGGGGGAAATTGTAATATTATGCAAATATACATTTTTTTTTGCATAAAAGAAAAAAAAACAAAAAGAGTAGATTTTTGTTTGTATATGCTGTCAATTATAGTTCTTAGAAAATCGGAATTGGCAAAAATCGGTATCTGCAGGTCACACTTAGAAAAAATTTGGAAATCTGAATCGGCCAACAAAATTGAAATCGGTGCATCTCTATTTAGATATATTTTCTTCATTAAAAATATTACCCCTAAACAAGTCAATAGTACATTTGATACATTTTTAAATATGTGGGTCAAAGACGAAAAAGGCTTTAAGCATAAAAACAATAAGTGTAATACTGCTTTAAGTTAAATTGTTGTTTTTCCTAAAAATTTATTTAGATATATTTTCTTCATTAAAAATATTACCCCTAAACAAGTCAATAGTACATTTGATACATTTTTAAATATGTGGGTCAAAGACGAAAAAGGTAAAAACAATAAGTGTAATACTGCTTTAAGTTAAATTGCTGTTTTTCCTAAAAATTAAAAAAAAAAATTCTGTTTAATTTAATTGCAATTTTGTTTTTGTTTTTCCGAGCAAAAGATAAATATCTTACATTTTTTCCCTGATTTACAGAAGACACCCACTAAAATGTCATTCAGTGTAACAATCTTGTCAGGCATAATTACAACAACAAAAATCAATTTATGACATATTAAAAGACTAATTACTTTCACCCTAAATACTAATTAGTTGTAATTTTACATTTGTAAAATTTGCCACTATCCTAGGTTTTGCCCATTGGTCAGTAAGAATTTTTTATTCATTTAAAACACAATAAAATTTAATATGCTCCCTTATTCTTTTATATATTTTAATATGTACAATAATGAATAAGCATGTTGTTTGAATTTTTACATAAATATTGTTACACCGAATGACAATGTAACATTATTTAAACCAAATTTTGACATTTTATTCTCCGAAAACGTATTTGAAACCTTAAAAGTAGAGATTTTACTTACATTTAATGTGCTTTCTGTGGATATAAAGTAAAGTAAGGATGTATGGATATAAATTTCTTTTGATGCGGACATCTTAATGTCTTTGTCCCATGTACAGAATGTTTCATCTAATCAGACATTTTTAATGAGAATTCTTTGTTGCTTGAGTCATGAAACGTCTCTTCTTCTTCTTCTTGCTGTTGTAGCCGGGTCTGAATGAGGTGGTGATGTCTTGTCGTGGGAAAAACCTCTTCTTCTCCACAGATATCGACTCTGCCATTAAAGAGGCCGATCTGGTCTTCATTTCTGTGAGTGTAATAAACTATTTGAATGTAGTTTTGCATGTAGGTCTGTTCACTGACCCTAATATCTGTCTCTCTTTCTCAGGTAAACACCCCGACTAAGACGTACGGTATGGGCAAAGGTCGTGCTGCTGACTTGAAGTTTATCGAGGCATGTGCACGGCGGATTGTGGAGGTGTCAGATGGGTATAAAATTGTTACAGAGAAGAGCACGGTGCCGGTCCGTGCCGCTGAGAGCATCCGCAGCATATTTGATGCAAACACCAAACCCAGCCTCAACTTACAGGTGTGTTTGTCTGAGCAGCTGTAACTTGTCACCATTCCTTTTGAAAAAAAAAAATCACCTTTTTGCAGTATGATGAAGTACGAGTAATCACTGTAATCATTCACATTAATCAAAAGTGACCGATTTCTATGCTGTTATTTTAAACGTATTATTCATCAGAGAATCCTGAAAAAGAATGTATTGCAGTTTCCACAAAAAAATTAAGCATCCCAACTGTTTTCAATATTGACAATAATGAAAAATGTTTCTTGAGCAGCAAATCAGCATATTAGAGTGATTTCTGAAGATCATGTGACACTGAAGACTGGAGTAATGATGCTGAAAATACAGCTTTGAGCACAGGAATAAATTACATTTTAAAATATATTCAAATGGAATATAGTCATTTTAAACTGTAGTAATATTTCAGTTTTACTGCATTTTATATCAAATAAATGCAGCTTTGGTGAGCATAAGAGACTTCTTTCAAAAACATTAAAAAATCGTGTATGTGTGTGTGTTCACTCAAATAGGACACAACGGGGGTATTAAAAAGTTAAAGGAACTTGTTTGTCTAATTTATGTTGTGAAAATATGCTTCTGTATTAGTTTGACATTTTTACACAGCCACCATCTACTTGTAAATATAATCCGGATTAGTCTTTTTTTTTTTTTAAGTGATTCTCTACAAAATCTTGCCTCTGTAATAGACCGACTGGATTTGTGGACCTTAAGAGAATTATTCAGTTTCTGTTTCTCAGTGTTAATAAATGACCTTTTCCCGCCTTTGATTACAGGTTCTCTCTAACCCAGAGTTCCTTGCGGAGGGTACGGCAGTGAAGGATCTGAAGGACCCAGATCGCGTCCTGATTGGTGGAGATGAGACTCCAGAGGGTCAAAGGGCCATCAGTGCCCTCTGTGCAGTTTATGAGCACTGGGTCCCCAAATCACGCATAATCACCACCAACACCTGGTCCTCTGAACTTTCCAAACTGGTATGCAAACGTAAGATATAAAAGCAGTGATTAGAATTAGTTGTAGCCAAGCCTTTCGGTCAGAATTTGATATGTAAAAATCTTTCAGTTAATATTTTGCGCTGTATAAGAACCGTGTTTGTGTTTTAGGCAGCGAATGCGTTCCTGGCTCAGCGCATCAGCAGTATAAACTCCATCTCTGCCCTGTGTGAATCCACTGGTGCTGATGTTGAGGAAGTGGCCAGAGCCATCGGCATGGATCAGCGCATTGGCAGCAAGTTCCTCAAAGCCAGCGTGGGTCAGTGCGTTTTTTAACCTCGTTTTAATTTCACATTGGTGCTTTTTTTGCTTTATAAAAGTGTTCAGAAAGATATGATAGAATGAGATTCGATCAAATGAATGAATGAGAGTTTTGCTTTAATTGCCTCGATCAGGTTTTGGAGGAAGCTGTTTTCAGAAGGATGTGCTGAATTTGGTGTATCTGTGTGAGGCTCTGAATCTCCCAGAGGTTGCTTCATACTGGCAACAGGTAAACTTCAATTTAAATATTTATTTGATAAGATGGTGTATGTTAGCTTTGTGTGAGTCATTATTCGATGAAAAGATGTGCATCAAGTCAGATGTAGCTTCATGTCACAGCAAGCAAATTTGAATATGTGGAGGTGAACATGAGATGTGGGAAGTTTATATGTTTAAAAAAAAAAATCAAAACTTTTATTAGGCGAAGATGCATTAAATTGTTAAAAACAACAACAACAGGTATTTACAAACTTCAACAAAGGTATTTCCATTTCAAATGAATGCTGTTCTTTTGAACTTTTAATTCATTGAAGAATCCTGGAAAAAAAAGATATGAAGCAGCACAACTGTTTTCAACATTAATGAAGAGAAAGAGATTTGCCTGTCGGATCATTGACTGCCTGTTTAACACCGTTACAGGGAAGAAAATCGCCTTGTTAGGTTTCTCCTTCAAGAAGGACACAGGAGACACCAGGTACATGCAGGGATGCTTTGAACCAGTCATTTTTTTTATTTATGACAGCTTTATCACATGTTCATTTAAGTCAAAAGTGTGTCTTTCACTTTTACCTACAAAACACAGAGCATGAGTTAACCATCAACTACGATTGTGTAATGAAGGTTACACACCGTTTTCATCGGTTTGAACCGATTAAATACCGATTAATATCCGATTAAAACTATGCAGACTTAAAACACTACGACACGTGTGTCAACACGCCCGTGCCACCCATGACCTTTATCTGGAGACAGTGAGGGTATGTCATGCATCTGCGTGTGGATTGTTTCAGAAGAGAAGCATGACTATGCTGTTATTTTACCTCCATTCAAGCCATCACGACAGATTTGTATTTATTCAGTAATGGGGCAGGAACACAGGCTTGTAACAAATCCCTTCATTAATGGGGTCCAAACGTCTAAGACCACTAGTGAAAATAATTATAGTATTAGCATGTCAATTTGTGTGAAAAGTTGAATTGAAAAATGAACATGAATTTCAGAATGTTTTAGTATTTGACATGTCCACCTTTTCCTATGGAGCAGCATTTAAGGTGACATGAACTTCAGTTTATTCTATACATGGTGATCATGTTATGCAGCATGATTCGAGAATGATTCATGGCATTAATCTTTCTCAGATTCACAGCACTGATGAATCATACATATGTATTACACAGTTAGTTCCCGTCTTTGAATTTGATTGGCCGAGAGCTGATGTTTAGTCAACAGCGCTGGTCTTTTCACGGTTTGTGTCGCTCCACTTGTCTTTGCATGTTCCAGACAGACTGTTAGTCTGTGCATTAGTCGAGGGGATTTTTACATTGTTACGCCAGTAGGTGGCGACAAGTGCATTATTATAACTCGTTGAATTATTCACTCAATTCTTCAGTCAATTCTTTCAAAAACAAAAGTGATTCATTTAGAAGGAAAGCACCACACCTTGGACTCTGTTTGGAAGTATTTTCATTGGCAGCTCAAAAATAAGCAAATTAATTAGTGATATTGTTTCTGAATGCTTCTACCTCGTTATTAACTGATTAGTTTTTTTCTCAAACAGTATAACCCTCAAAATTGAGTGAGATTTCACAATATATATATATATATTTTTTTTTTTTAATGCACTACATTTTGATATATTTCTTTGAACTGACTGAAGAAATGCCATTTTAGATATTGTATAATATTATTATTAGTTATTTAACATATTAGTAATTTATTTTATAATATTACATTTATGTATTTGACATACTTTTACCCAAAGTGACTTGTGGTGCATTTTTTGCTGTTGTTCTGTACTAGTTCCCCTGGATTTATTCAAAAAGAGCCTTTTTCTGTGGCATGATCATCAATCTTGTGTTGTAAGCCCCTCCTGTGTGTATGTGTGTTTCAGAGAGTCCTCCAGTATCTACATCTCTAAGTATCTGATGGACGAAGGAGCTAAGCTGCATATTTATGACCCTAAAGTGCTGAAGGAGCAGATAATCCAGGATCTGTCTCAACCCAGCATCTCCGGAGACAACCCCGAGAGAGGTGTGTTGAGCAGATAAACCTGTGCTTCTCTGAATGAGTGCTGTGTCATTCTGAATCTGGTGTGGGGGAGGCTCTCACATATAGGAATGCAGGGGAACGTTTGTGTCTGCGTGTTTCTGTCTAATTCAGCATGACTCTCATCCTCTCTGCAGTGTCTGATCTTGTAACGGTGTCGTCAGACCCCTACGAGGCGTGTGAAAGTGCACACGCCCTGGTCATCTGCACGGAGTGGGACATGTTTAAGGTACAAAAAACACAAACTCTATGCAGATTCAAAAGGCACTGACATATAGTGTAACACTTGAGTAATGCTTTGATTAAAGTGGTTTGCTTTACCAAAGCAGAACTGTCACTTGACCAGCACTGTTATATAAGCTGCATATTTATTGATCAGGTGCATGTATTTTTGTGCCTTGCAAACAATGCATTAATTTCCAGGTACTTTTTTGGACATTTTCTTAGTGTTGTATTATTATTAATAAATGTTTGATTTACCTATTAATGTATAAATGTAAAAATATAATCACAAGTAATGGTTTTGAACAATCATTTTAGTATAAGCAATAAATAATGCATTTAAATGTAAATATAATATTATAAATGTAAATTAATGTTTAGTTTATTTATTCATTTATACATTTATATTTAAATTATACATTATATTACATTAAATTGTGTAACAATAAATATTTTTAAATAATAATTTTAGAGTAAATACTAAATTAGACATTTAAATGTAAACATTATAAATGTAAAATAATTCATGTTTGGTTCAATGTAGAAATTTACAAAGGTGTATTACTCATTTATTTTAAATCATTATTTTAGAATAAATACAAAATTAGAAATGTACATATAAATATAATATTATAAATTCATAAATATTTGGTTTATTTATTTCTTAATTTAGAAATGTAAATACATTATAACACATTTTGTAAAATAATTTTTAGAACAAATATATTGTTATATTCACATTTCTAAATGTTGAAGTGTAAATTAAAATGGGAGTTTTTGTGTTGGGTCCAGTAAAAATACTGGTGGGGTATAAATCTGAACTACTGGCATGAAAGCCCTGCCATGGTGCTGAATGATTACCATATATGCATATATTATAGTAAATGTGGTACTATACTCCCAAAAACAACGGTATGTCTAAAAAGAATAGTGAAGTATTGCATGTGTTTATTTTAGGAATTGAATTACGAGAAAATCTATCACAAGATGTTGAAACCAGCGTTTATCTTTGATGGTCGACGAGTTCTGGACCATCTGCACCCTCAGCTCCAGAACCTTGGCTTTCAGGTGAGTGCTTATTTGTGACCCTAGACCACAAAACCAGTCACAAGGGTCAATTTTTATTATACTGGCATAAAAGAAAAATCGATAATTTTGACCCATACAATGTATTGTTGGCTATTGCTACAAATATACCCCAGCGACTTAAGACTGCTTTTGTGCTCCAGGGTCACATTTGTGCAGTTCACAGGTTTGTGGTTGTGCCCACCTGCCTGACTACTTGCTTCATTCACTTCATTAGTTAACATAGTTTAATGCTGTGTGTTTTGCATAGATCGAGACCATTGGAAAGAAAGTGACGACCCGAATCCCCTTCACACCATCCGGAGGAGGTCCACGACTCAATGAACCACCCAGCAAGAAAACCAAAGTTTAAGACACAGACTCACACACATGTGCACTTTACACGGATTAAAGTCTTTTGCTGACAAAACCAAAGTAATGCGTGACCTTTGCTGGAAAACAATGCATGTGCTGTGTGTGTGCTGAACCATCTTCAGAATGTTTTTATACGAGTTTTATCTCTCATGGCCGTTTGCAAAAATGCAGTGATTTACTGTTTTAAACACTTTGTCGTTGATGTCTTAGTTTTTTTAAATCATCGTTCTTGCATTTTTTTTTTAGAATGTTCTCATGTCTGTGCCTTTTAAAAAAATTGTTGAAACATCTATAGTGCACAAAACTGCATTTCAGCATCCCAGTACCGTTTAGTAGTATATTAGTGTTTACAGTTATTAGTGTTATAGATGTTATTGGCAAAATCATCTACTTATTTGAGAGCGATGTCTGAGGGAGCAGCAACAGAAGGAACTTTAATATTTGGACCAAGGGGACAGAAAAACTGCTATAAAACATTTGCCTTAAAAACATTTGGCAATGTGATACCAATAGTAAATAGCTGTTTGTGTCACCCAGTTATTAATCATTTATTAATCCTCTGGTATGTATTGTTTGACCTGTACTGTGTATCTTAATGTAGCGTCACAGTTGTAGCTTTTATAAAATCATCTCTTACTGTACAGGTTTGTAATGGTCATGTACAATGATGGCAGAAAACGTATTAAACAAATATGGACCAATAAAAAGCAGCAGCGTTGTTTACTTATTTCGCAGGCTTAAATATGGCGGTCAACCATGGCTCAAACAAAAATGCACAATTGACATGTTATTGTATTGAATATATTCTATTACTTAAATGATGCACAATATAGAGACCTTTAATCCATTACTAAAACAACCCAACATGTTCATTTAAATATTATGTTTATAGTGTTACTGCAACGCAATGAATTTTATTTTGTATTATGTATACTTAAAGGTTAAACTATGGTTCCTTCAGTCTTCTTCTTTTCCAGCAGATTCTTCAAAAAGAACTCGCCTAAGAAATGAAACGGTGTATTTAAACAAATAAAATTATAGTATGTGTAAAAATGAAAAGTGGAGCCAATGTTTGTCTGCCCTGATGGTCAAAACTACACCTATACAGCATCTCTTGCCATATTTATTGATCATGTGCATGTATTTTGGTGCCTTGCAAATAATGCATTAATTAAAAAAAAAATTGTTTTATTATTAATAAATGTTTGCAAAAAATATTAATAATCCCAAGTAATGGTTTTGAATGATCACTTTAGTACAAACAATAAATAACTAATTTAAATGTAAATATAATTTTATAAATGTAAATTAATACTTTTAGTTTATATATTTATTAATTTAGAAATATAAAAATAGAAATTTACATGTAAATATAATATTATAACTAAGTAAATATTTGGTTTATACATTTGTTAATTTAGAAATGTAAATACATTATAATATATTTTTTAAATAATATTTTTTAGAATAAATAATATTACATTGTAAGTACTGTAAGGAATTTAACTCATTAATTCTTATAAGGGAATTAATTATTATTAATTCTATTCATTCAGGTTTTGAAAGGACTCGAATCTGAAAATTCTAAATCCACCTGTTTAGAACTGATTTCAAATTTGTTATTTTACACCTTATCAGCTACTCGTCCTGCGAGACGTTAATGTCAGTGTATATTAACAATTTGACTATGTATTTTCCCAGGCCACGGGTTAATACGTTATTTGATAAGTTATACGCTACGAGCTAGGTAGCAATGATCTTGGCAATGTTTTGACTTTCAAATTTCACGACACCAGACAAGGATTCTTTATAAATGATTCACCAGTTCAGCACCCATTTCAGCAGCTGCAAGATTTGTTTGTACTTGCGTTTTGCTGAAATCTGAGAAGCTGAGAGGACTTCCTCGTTGCTGACGCAGGCTTCCTGGGGATGGCTGATAGGGGCATATCAGTGTCCGTTCATGATAGAAATCCCTACAACATTTACATTTCTGATTGTCTACGTGTAAATTAAAATGTGCAGGTTTTTGTGTTGGGTCCAGTAAAAACTTTGGTGGGATATAAGTCTCTTGTAAACTATATATAAACTATATGTATATGCTGTATAGAGGAGATAATGATAAGCGTCACAGCTGTGTGTTTAACAGAATGAAACTGAAATGACGTATGAAATGGGAAATGCTGCCTGCTGCTTTTGAATGATTAGTGCTTGAAGAATTTTCACTTTGGTAAAATCTGGTCCTCGTTCTGTCTGAGAACCATCTGCTCAGATGTGACTAACGTGTAAAGTGGCCAATCAATCACAGTTTGTTCTGTCGCCGTTTAGAGGTGAGGTTATCTAAAATAGATTACTTAAAGCAACTGCAGTGCATGCAGGATTTTTACCTTGAAGTATCAGTTTCAAAATCATTCTGATGGTACACCGACTCATTCGGCCCCTTCATTCAAGCTCTCGGTTCACGCATGCGCATATCAGCGGCTCATCGGTCTTCAGTCCGAGTCGAACTGTTTCTTCAGTTCAGTGACTGTTGGAGGAACTGGAGCGCTGAATCAGTTCATTCATCACAGGATCAGATACGCCGCTATTTCGGCTCATTTCCAGTCGCAGTGACTGTCAGGCATCTGAAAGTGAGTTTTGATTGAGTAACTTGTTGTAGATCTGTGCTGCTCAAGCCGCGAACGGTTTCAGACGCTTCAGTCCGATTTGATGAACTGGTTCAGTTAGTTCGCCAAAAAGAACCGGTTCAAAAGAATGATTCATTCATGAACTGAACCGTTTGCCTGAGGCTCTGGATTACAGGTAGAGTTGGGTCCGAGTCCACCTTTGTCGAGTACGAGTCAAGACCAAGTCCTTAAACATCAAGTCCAAGTCCGAGACCGAGTCCAAAAGGGGCCGAGTTGGACTCAAGTCCGAGTTCTTAAAGGCCGAGTCCGAGTCGAGTCCGCCCGAGTTCAGAAAGTAATTAAATTAAAAAAGATTATAAATTGGTATTGTAAATGTTTACATTCTATTAATATTTTAACCTTTCAACCCATTAAACAAGTCCGTGTCAAGTCCGAGTACAAATTCACCCGAGTGCGTGACAAGTCCGAGTTCATTCAAAATTGGACTCGAGTCCGGACTCGAGTCCGAGTCCAAGTTCGAGTACCCCAACTCTAATTACAGGTAATAATGCTGTAAAAAGTTTCTTGCACAGACCGATCGTTTCGCTTCATAAGACCTCAATATATCGCCAGGAGCCATGAGTATTAATTTTGTGTTCCTTGATATGCTTTTTTTTTATTCTCAAAGACGTGCAGCCGCTGACTTGCATTTTATGAATCACCAAGGATCACGGTTTCAGCTAAAAATCTTCTGTACTGTTCTACTGAAGAAAAAAAGTCACCTACATCTTGGATGGTCTGAGGATGAGTAAATTAACAGCACTTTTTTTTTTTTTTTGGGTGAACTGTCCCTTTAAGGTACGGTTGCATTACTTAATTTTCAGTCATTTTAATAGAAATTAATTTTGCGTGAGGGTGAACAATTTCGCAACAGGTTCAAGTTGATCACACAGACTCACCGCACTGACCAACAGAAAGCTGCATGGAAAGTGACATCCTAAACTGTTGACAATAGACAATGCATGCCCTTGAAATTTCACCGAAGCGTTGCATAAAGCTAGCCAAGCAGCTTGTAGCTGGTGATGTCAGCCAGAACTTGCCATTTTTGTGTGCAGAATGTATCACATAGTCATTGAACAGATTGTGAAAGAGTGGTTGTTTTATTAATGTCGCACCTTGAGATTGCGTTTGGTTGGCTGCATGTACTGCCCCAGTGTCAGACAGTCCACTCCAGAGTCCCTAAATTCTGAAAGAACTCTCATACGCTAATACATGCATATTTATCTACCTCCCGTGATATATGTAACATCTCGAACTCTAACATGAATTACCTTTTCAGAGCTGAATTACCTATCTGTGCGTCTGTCTCTCCGAGCCCCAGCACGAGGGACGTCTTCGTGAGCACACTGGATTTCACCTTTTTAGCATGTGGTAAAACACTCAGTGATTGGTCGAAGTCTGCACGAGGGTCACGCACATGCCTCAAGGTCAAAGATCAAAGATGAAAAATGAGTTCTGCAATGAAATCTCCAAGCTTTAATCAGCGAAAGGATGAGAACTACTGTTGCTAATTCACTTGGACTAGATATTTCTGCTATCTGGTGGTGATTGTATACACAAGCAATAAAACCAAATAAAATAATAAAAATTAAATATGAAAGACATGTAAAAAGAATGCAAGAAATGTATATATATAATTATTATTTTGAAAGATTTAAATATCTTAACAATTTTTTTTTGCATACAAATAAAACTGGAAAAATACACAGAACTTTCTCATATCAAACACTACTTTGTGAAAGCTGTCTTGTGCTTCTGGACTTTACAAACAGCATTAAAAAGCATTCTTCAAAAAAAATTAAAAATTTGTACGCGAGCACACAAGATCCAGGCTGTAACAGCACAATTGCACTAACCTCTGTAAATCTCTGACCATCTCTACATTGTGAGCATAAACATCAAGCCCAGACAAAGCTATTTACTCCACTGCTGCCGGATCACCACAGAAATCAGGAGTCAAACACTCTACCAGGATTTTAGGATTCCTAAGAGAGAAAAGATCGTATGTGACCCTGGAGCACAAAAGCAGTCTTAAGTCGCTGGGGTGATTTTCAAATATTGTCCTATCCTAACAAACCATACATCAATGGAAAGCTTATTTATTCAACTTTGAGATGATGCATACATCTCAATTTAAAAAAATTGACCCTTAAGACTGGTTTTGTGGTTCAGGGTCACACATGTGCATGGCAATTTTCCAAGGCATTTCACGGAGTCTTTAATGTTTGGTTTGCTAGTGTTTTTATGTTTCCTCACCATCTCTGTCCACTGATGTGAGAACTACATAGTCCAGTCCCCATGCTCAAAATTTAAGCATGCTTTAACCCCATGCTAAACACATGTTTAATCAGCAGATATTATACTGTTAAGATTGCAGTGACTTTGCGCTGGCCTGCACACTAAACTATTTGGCATTATATGTTTGTACAATCAGTCATACAACTAAAACAGAACAAAGAAACCACTTACACTAGACCCCTCGGAGCATTTTGACGGTAAAAACAGACGATTAGACGAATAGGACTTCAGAACCAGCTCATCAATTGCTCTGACATCGATTAACTCACCCTGCACGTTTATGACAAAGACATCGTGACAAATGTGCATGTGACACATTTTCCTACATAAAAATAAAGATATGTCAATTTAACATTTAACATATATAATAATTGTTATGACAGTTACAACACGCTTTACTAAATCGGTTCTCAGTATCTGTAATCGCTCGGTCGTGCCTTGGCGACCGGCGATGACGCAAAACGTACTGCTTACATTTACGTCATGACGTCCTTCCGCCTCCCTTTCCTCTTTAATCGGCGAGGTAAGAACATGGCGCGTCCTGTTCTTGTGTGTTTTAATCAACTACAATCCACACTAACGTCAAATCCGTCGGGTTTGCTTAGTGTCCCAAGACTTTATTTACTTGTTCGTGAGAATATCTGTGCTTGTATTAGTGCAGAAAACCCGATGTTGTTTGATAACCGCAGTCTGGTCAGTGTTTATGTATTAGTCGGGCTTGTAGGCCGAATTCATTAATTAAGCAA